CTTTTATGATTAGCTGGATTAGCCCAACATCCTCTGAGTTGTCAGCTTTCTATGGACGTGTAGAAGACCCTTTTCTCTTTCTGTTGGAGCTAATGCTCTATTTAGTGGAATGCTCCACTAAATTACTGCAATGTGTTATATGCTGGACTGCCCTTGGATACGGCTGAGAAACTTCAGTTAGTTCAAAATACTGTGGCAGGGCTATGACTGCAAGGGGGCAATAGGAACATAATATTTAAGTTCTTTATGGTCTTCACTGGCTTCCAGTTTGTTTCCAGTCCCAGTTCAAGATGGTTGCTTTAACTACAAAGCTATTTATAGTTTAAAATCTGAAGAGACGCCTCTTCCCATTTGTCCTACTCATGTCATATTTGGAGGGCCTGCTCAGGATATTCCTCCAATCCAGGGGCATCTTTATTATCTTTCTGGCACTAGGCAAATATTATTATTATTCTCCCAGAACTTTTAATGTTTTAATCCTACTGTGATTTTTAATTCTTTTATTGCTGCTTGTATTCTCTATTAGCATTTTAATGTTTATTTTGCAGATTTTATTTTGTACTGTGTTTTTATAAAAGCCTTTGTTTTTATTAATTGCTTTCACCTACTATTTCTAAATGCAACTGTAATTTTTAATTGTAAATCGTTTTGGGATTTCTTTTAATGGAAAGCAGTATATAAATGTTTTAAATAAATACACATTTTTATTCACTCTCATGTGGCATACTACTACTGATATCTTAAGAATAAGAAGAGGCCATGGGTGTTTGCACTTGTTCCTGGGGCAAATTGCATGCTGTCACTCAACTTATAGCCTTTAATCATACATCAAAATTATATTATGCTAATGAGAAAAAACATGTTCAAGGTTCATTCTCATTTGCATGGTTATTAGTTCAGATATAATGTTGAACTATGTTTAACCGTGATAGAGGAGGAAGAATTTGAACCAGATGGGAAAGAAGAGAATATTCAAGGCTATAATCAGATGACTACTTTTTAATACAGCACTAATTTAATCAACCTTCCCTTTAGAAAGGGAAATGAAAACGAAAACATTCGCCTTTAGAACAAAGATACATCCACACTTTACCACTTTACTGTCTAGGTGTAGGCAATCTTTTCCTGGCTAGGTACAATAATTTGTTCTTTGACCTCCAAGGGTTACAAAAGTATGGTGGTGAAGCAGTGATGTAATTGGAGGACACAGAATCTCCTCTTTTTTGTGGAGTTTGGAATTTTAAAGTTAAATAGCTAAAGAGTTTCGGGGACTGTTTTCAGCCTACAAATTATGAATTGCCCACACTTTCTGTAGTAAAATACTACTACACTAAAAAAAGCCCTTCCCTAGATACTTCCATCAAATTTATTCTCCACTGCAAATTATCAAGTTGATCACTGTAGCACCCACATTACAGTACATGTGGGTGTTGATTCTGTCTTACCTCGCAATTGTGTCCTTTAAAGCAGCCAACGATGCACTGAATGCAGGATCTGACAAACCCCTAAAATAGATAGAAGATGCAGAGAATTAAGAGACTATTAATGCATATAATGAGAAGGTTTACATGGGATTCTTATGCAATCAGGATTCAACAGAAGAGAATATCTGTAGCTCGGGGTTGAACTGTTGGGTTCTTGGTGCTCTCTGAGCTTTCTGTCATCTAGAAAGCAGATCCATATTTTTGATGTTTGTGTGGGAGTGCTCCTGCTTCTAGACATTACATCACAGTCTTAGCTAAGAATCCTGAGTGGTGAACTCATGGGTGTTCCTCTGATTTGTTTATTTGTCCATTGAACTGAAAGTAAGTGGTGTGGCAAAGGTTGATGAATTTCATGATTCTGGGTGTTTTAGTCATAGTGTATTCTGTTAGGTTGGGTGTGTGTGTAGTAATGCCACAATGGATTCTTTTGGTAGTTTTGAATCTATGCACATGAAGATTGCTATGACATCAAATGAAGCCATAATTTCATCCTCTTCTATTCTTAGGCCCTTGATATTCTGGAGGCACTGTAGTGGTGAATTGATAGAGTATTTCTTCCCATCTATGATATGTTCAAGTTTTCTGGTGAGCTCTTTAGCTGCATTGTATGTTGGGGTCCCTGATAGTGATACAATTGAACAAAGTGATATGTTGGGCTTGTGTATTTTGGGATGTCCATAAAAGCATGGGAGGGCAGTTCTACCATTTTTCACTTGCAACTGTTCTTATTTCGTGATTTGTCCTTTCTTGCTTAGAAAGTTAAGGGTTTTCTTGATTTGGTTGTCCAGTTTCCATACTGGGTTGTTATTTATGGGATTATAGGATTCTTTGTCCTTCAGTAGTTCTTTGGCTTTCCATACATATTGTGCTCTGTCCATGATAACAGTGGCTTGGCTTTTGTCTGCTGGGAGGATAGTGATTTTTTTTGGAGGCAGCATTACCCCATTTACATACCATTTACAATATAGAATCAAAAGCCTAGAAAGAAAACAAATAGCCTAGAATACATCCCCTCCAGCAGTGAACACCCAGATAAGCAGGAAACAGCACATGAACAATCAGGGAAGAAACAATATTCTAATCAAGAAACCATCAAGGAGAAAGCCACACTCCCGCCAAGACTGGTAGGGCAAGCTATTAGATACAGTCAGCAAACCCCAGTCTCCCTTGCACTAATTTTGTTACACAGCCTGGTAATGAAGCTTCTGCAAGAAAATAACCAAGCTCAGAGACCACCAAGAACCCAAGAAGTAGGGCACAATTTACTCCTGATTCTTAATAACTGTGTCAGGTACATGTCCATAAGAACATGTTTTAGTTGGAACATATAAAACAAAGGGTTAGTCATTATACCATTTTGGGTCATCAAAGCATTTCTGCAGAGTTCCATCTAGCATCAGTTTCTTTGTGTGGAGCCTCAGCTCTTCTGAAAGTGAGCTCACTGGAAAAGATAATGAGAAACCACACTGAATAGGATGAAATGCTATATGAGAGACCAGTTTATTCAGATTAAAAAAATGAGCTTTCTGTGTCCCAGTAAGGTTGAAGGGCAAGTTTTTCTGAACCTCTATTTGTCTACCACTGTTGATTTTCCCTTGTAATACAAGAAGAGAAGGAAACATTGGGCATATTCCTAAATGCAATTTCAGTCCACATAATGGGTTACTAAAACTAGTGTTTAAATAGTAGAAGATAGTGTTAGCCAGTACAATAGTTTTGTATGCCTGCGGTCCTGCATTAATTGGACAGACCACTGGTACATATGCTCATTGCAAATACATGCATGATAGTATCTGAGGTTTTTTTCCAACAGCTATGTTCAGTGAAGACCAAGAGCCAAGTTAAGACATTTAAGAATGAAATATGGCATATTTCCTTCAAAATAATCTATCTGAAGTAATTCTGACAAGTTTTTAGGCTGCTGAGCACCAACTTCACAAAATACTTGTTTTAATCTCAAACAGGCTTGACCAAATTGACTCCTAGGTGCTCTGCAGATGAGACACAACTCTTTCTCTCTTGAGGTAAACCAAGGATAAAACTTACCATTCTGCTGAAAAGTTTCAAAATTAAAGCCTTCCATGTGCCTTAGAGACTGCTCAAGCTTTTGGGCAGAGTACTAACAGGAAAGAGAAGAAGATTTAAGTTTGGTATTTGGTCTTTAGAATGTTGACAGAATTCACATTATAATTAACTTTTCACCAATGCTACTAGAAATAAGAGAATTTTTAACCATACATGTACAGCAACCAAAACCCCAATCAGCTCTCAAGTAACCAAATTAACAAAGTTAGCACTTTTACAATAAGAACTTCACTGCTAGTTAGGACTGACCCTAATAAGAGCCATTAGTTTAGATAGTGGCTTGTGCATACACACAATATGTAGCCTGAAGGCCTCCCCATTGCTGCGTCTGTCATGCTACCATCACCACTGAATCCACACTGTGTAGTTCTGTGTAGTCACCACTTTTCCAGAGTTAAATCTTCCATTAAGATTTAACTTGAACTT